TGGAACCAACTCCCAAGGGAAGTGGTGCTCGCTCTTACTGTAGGGGTCTTTAAAAGGAGGCTTGTTAACTACCTAGCTAGGGTCATTTGAGCTTAAACTTAGTAGGGGTCGTAAGAGCCCTGTATTCATTCCTGCCCAGGGCGGGGGGTCGGACTAGATGTTCTGCTCAGGTCCCCTCTAACCCTACTTCTATGAATCTATGAATCTGTGAAATCCCAGCCAAGCTTCCTTGTTATCTTGATAACCTGAGGGGAGAGTGCAGTATTTCAGTCTGTGATACAGAGGCCCAAGACTGAATTTTCCAATCTCTGGAATCATTCTAGGTAGCAAAGGGAACTGTACTCTCTATGTGCAGGACTAGATAAGCTGAAAAACAAGCTCAGTCTTTAAAGGAGTTGGAAGCTTGTTCTGGGCCTGGAAGCCAGGAGTTTTGTTTAAACATTTCATGTTTAGTTATATGAACTCATGTAACTAGTATACAGCATGCCGGGCCTCAGGTTGGGCTTTCAGTCTTGATGTCATAGGATAGGCAAATATGGAAGCAGTAGTTACCCAGCTGACACAAACTACCATAGTTTTGCTACAGCCGGTGGTGCTATGACAAGTTCACACCAGCCAAAGGTATGCATCAAAGAGAAGAAAAGTGAGATGAACAAATCTCTTGTTCTCTTTTGTGCAGGGTGAATGGATCATATGAGGCTCTCTCAGGAGGGGCCACCACTGAAGGCTTTGAGGACTTCACAGGTGGAATTGCAGAGTGGTACGAGCTGCAGAAGGCACCCCCCAACCTGTTCAAAATCATCCAGAAAGCTCTTCAAAAAGGCTCTCTCCTTGGATGCTCCATTGACGTGAGTCAGTCCCACTTCCTACCAGACTGTTAAGGTCCCTTGCAGCAGGGCTCAGCAGGGAACAGAGGGCATGCTGGCGTGGCCAGGCACTGCACAATACTATCAATTTTCTACTTCTCCTGCTGTCGCACCAAGCCCAGTTTGGTTCTCTACTATTTTATGCACACGAATTTGGCCCAGCCAACCCCTTGCTGAGGGTGAGGCTTCCGAGCAGGCAAAACTGTTACTTTATTGATGAGTGAGAGAGTGGCATTTCAGAGCCTTGAGTCTTTTTTTTCTCTATGGGTAAAAAGATTCTTTTTAACTGTTCTGAAACTGCATAATTACCTGTGTGTGGCCTCTTATGTCTCCATATACCGTGCCTTTGTTTTCCAATGTACATGGGAATGAATTAAATAAATCCTGTTGGTTTGTCAGGAAGTTGATCCCAGCCTTGTGCTTTTGGAAAGAGAGAATCTCAGACTATCCAGTGAGAGATTCCAGCTTATTGCTGCTAATAGTGATTTCTGCAAAGTTGGGACTGTAAGCCACCAGCTCTTAGTACTTTAGAAATCTTTTTACCTTGTTGCTCCAGCATTTGTCTCCAGGGTTTACATGAAATGCAGGAAGAATCCATGTAACTGTTGGCAGGTTTTGAGAAGACTTAAATAGAAAATGGTCATGGCCAAATTCCGAGTTCTCGTGACACACAACATTTCCATAAACAAGAAGATTTTCAACCCAGCCTACAGCATTTGAATATAAGTCTTAGTCTGTGATTAAAACAAAACAAAAACTAGCTACAGAATATAAAACAGCAGTTACGAAAAAGCTCAAAAACAGCCTTAAAACAAAAATGCTGCCTGTTTAAAGCAATGGATTGATTAAGGTTTTGAAGATATAATCACTGTATACGTACGTGCTCAGTATTGTTGGCTGAGAGGTCATCAGCTCTCCTAAGGATCATGGATTTTCTTTTTCTTATTTAGTGAGAGGGTAAGTAGTTTATGTCATAAGCTGCTGTTTTTAAAACTAAACTTTTTTGCCAAGTTTATGTTAAAACAGAGCATTACGGGAAGGAGGAAACTTCACATCAGGAAAAGTGATTTGCTACACAGGGGGAGCTTCCTTAAACAGGATTTTTAGTTTGCAACTTGATGAGAATCTGACATGTGTTTTTTTCCTTAAAGTGTTTGAGGCTTTCATAGGTCTTCACTGGAAAGGGAGATAGTAAATGCACTGAGCTTCTCCGTTGAAAGGTGATAGAGACATTCAAATCACTTAATGAATATTCAAATTAGTTTGGCCTCCAAATATGCCTGTGGAATTGGGATGCAAGATCCCTGTTTTACAACTGAAACAGCTGAAGCTAAGCACTTGTTCAAGGTGCCACAGCAAACTGGAAGAGCATGGATCAGGTTATGGGAGTCCTGTCTCGATTAGATATTCTACTCAAAGGTCCTCTGGCACATATACAGGTGCATTGAGTCTGCTCCAATGCACTGTAATTACAACACGTCAGAGCAGACTCAGTTAAGCGAGTCTGCTGGTGCGTGGTAATTGCTGTGTTCCAGCAGACACCAGCATCATGTGTATCAGGATCCCCACACTGAAAAATGGTGGCAGGGGTGCTTTAATTAAAGCTTGTTCAATGAGCTTTAGTTAAAGCATCCCCACCACCATTTTTCAGCGTTGGGATGTTGATACACGTGATGCTCTGGGCACTTCGATTAGAACGGCTCTTGGAGCCTGTCTAATTAAAGGGCCCTTCCACCCCCGCCTCCTGGAGCATGCATATAAATGCCCCTTGAACCTAACAGCTCAGTGAGCTGGCATGGTTAAAGCCTGGCAATTTCTGTAGTCAGCAGCTTGCAAGGGAGTGATGGGGTTAGCATGCATCAAGCCACCTTCTGACCCTAGCTAGAATATCTATTTGCTCCTTTATGGTTGAATTGAGTGAGGGCAGCCTTTGGCATGTGGGCTTGAGCTCACATGTCTGGTGCTATAGTGAGATACCTGAACAAGTCTGCCTTTGCTCCCCCCAGCCCCATTAGACTGTAACCATAAAATAAATAAAAATCCCTCCCCTTCCACAACTTTAAAGACCACACAACTTTTGCAGTAATGGGTGAACACTAAAAGGAAGTGTGTGGATTTAGACAGTGACAGATTTAAGAAGGGAAGATTTGTGGGGTAAGACACAGTTTCCAAAGTGGAAGCTGTTGTCGCTTTTATTCTTCCAGCCCTACCATCCTGATGAACTGGTGTCCAAATGCTGCTCTTAAAAAAACAGCTTGTCTGCTGAAACACATGACAGTAATACAGTTCATGAAACACAGCAAGTCTGTGGCCACTTAGGCCTTTCTGTGAGTCTCTGCGGTGCTCAGGAGAAAAATCCTCCATCCTGTTACAAAGCAAAAAAAAGAGACAATGTGGCAAAGAAGATAGAGCCCTGGAATGAACCTTGGGGGTCCTGGTGTTGGTTCTTGGCTGGTCTGCTGGGCAGTCCAAGCAAGCCACATCACGCTTACTGTGTCTCAGTTTCCCCATCTGTAAAACGGGGTGGAGATGATATTTATCTCACTTTGAAATTGCATTGAGACCTCTGGATGAAAAATGCTTCATGAGAATTAGGTGGAATTGTCCTAGAGTCAGGTCCAGATCAGCCATATAGGCATCATCATATAGGTGTTGTTGTACCTAAAAAAATAAGCTGGCTTTGTGGGTATCTAATGAATTGGAGACTTAGGCAGATTTCAGGTGCTTTGCCACTTATATCTGCAACACCTGGCTTCTCCAGCTGTGTCACTTCTGAACATGTGCAGTTGTTCATGTCTAGGCACTGAGGGATCACTTCAGGCCAAAACAGGGGCATTTAGCAAATCTAGACACCTAAATGGTTTTGTGGTCTGACAACCACGTAGGTGCCTAGTTTGAGCTATTTGGATTTGGCTTCTAGAGCTGAAGGAGAAGGTCCATTAGCTTTAGCACTATAAGGACAGAATTGGATGTCTGATATCTACTGCAGACCCGCATTACACACCTGGGTGGATCATGGTGACAGGGGACACATGCCCCTCAATAGTGGGGCATGTGCTTAGTGGAGAGATTGACCACAGCCCATCACCAGTGACCCTGGATTCCAGTAAACTCTGAGCTCCCCAGCTCGTCAGTGTGGGGTCTGGATGGAGTCCCTGCTTTTGCATGGCTCCAGAGCCCAGGGGGTGAGGCATTGCTGCTGTTCACCATCTCCCCCCTCCTGCCCCTTGAATTCAGCAATAGGGGAAAAGTGGGGACAAAGCAAGTGTACCAGTGCTCAGCCCCTGTCTTCACAGAGCGCCAGAGCCCAGGAAGTGAGTGCTGGCACTACTCCTCTTCTCCTTTCCTCTGCTGGTGAGTTCAGCAGGGGGATGCATCAGGGACAGGAGGAAGGGAGGAGGGTGAGCAACAGCAATGGTGCCCAGCCCCTGTGCTCTGGACCTGCGTGAAAGCAGAGGCTTAGCCAGACTCTGTACTGACCAGCTGGTTAGCTCAGAGCTCACAGCACATGCAGAGCTCCGGGCAGGAGCTGCACTGACATGCGGGTGAGCTCAGACCTTACTGCACGTACTCTGCCCAGCCAAAGGAGGTGTGACGGTGCTGCTGCCCTTTCCTGCTCCCCACCAATTTGCACCTGGTTACTCAGGCTATTTTCACATCTATTTGATCTCACAGCTCCTCTGAGTTATAGGCAGGCAGCAAAAGCCGGAAGGAGAGAGGGGAGCCCAGAGTCCAAGCTGCTACTGCAATAGGAAGTATGCAGGAACAGTGGTCAGGTGGGAGCCTGCGGACCGTAGTTTAACCCTGCATGAGCTTCATGCAACCCACAGACCAGCAGTTGGACTTCCCTGCACTGAACCACTGCTGTTACCTCCAGGGGAGCCTTCTGAAAGCTTTCCCCTGTTAGAGTTTGTCTGGCGTGCCAGGGGCTCAAACCACTGAGTTTCTCTGTGTTTCCAGATCACAAGTGCAGCTGAGACAGAGGCAGTCACTACTCAGAAGCTGGTGAAAGGACATGCATACTCTGTCACAGGAGCAGAAGAGGTAACCTCTCCACTTTTGGATGCAGTCACTTCCGTTATCCAAAACAATGGCATTTTCTTGCTGTCATGTTTGTTTGCTTCACAGACACGTTTCATCCTCCTGTTGCCTCCTTGATCGTTTCGGTTTCCTGCAAAAAGCCAGAACTGCGCACAGTGCTACTTCTGGTCCATTTTCTGACTCTTCTTTTCCATGGGACTCACCCTGTACTGCAAACCATTGATCACACTGCCCTCTTGTGGTTAAATTATCTCACAACAGCATGTAATGCCTCAAACTAGGCGAGGGAGTAAAGTAGATTTCAGAAAACCTTAGCTCATCATGCTCAACCTCCAGCCCACAGACCTCCACAGATCCATAGGGAGCCCGGCAGGCTGTAGGCCTGTGTGCTAAATTAGGCACTCAGGGTGGCACAGGGCCCGATTCCAGTGGTGGTTGGGTGTGGCATGGGGCACCAGAGCCTGATCCCAGCAGGCAGGGCTGGGCAGAGACAGCATGGGGTCCCAACCCTAGCATGTGGGCCTGGGCAGGGGCAGTGCAGGGCTCAAGGGCCCAATCACGGTATGCAGAGTGAGTGTTGGGGCAAGGCAAGACTGCCAAAGGGGCCAAAGCATTGAGCACCACTGATTTAGCCAAGCTGTGTTGTTCCAGTATCCCTCTGGGAGCATTTTGACAGGCTGGGTGTTTCTGAGGCTAGGCTAAATTGCGTGTTGCTGGTCACATCTACTTGAGATACTTACTGTGCAGTAGCTCATTAGTACTGCGCAGTAGCTCATTAGTACTGCGCAGTAGCATTGTAGGGCACAAACCATGACACGACAGTACTGAGCAGTAGTGCAGACGAGTTACAGTGCAGTCAGCACCACCACAAAGCCATGCAGGGACACTACTGTTCAGTAATGCTAGTTACTGCGCAGTCTTTTAGGACTTGGGTATGCTAGTACTAAATGACTGTGCAGTAACAACTGCACAGTCACTGCCTTGTGTAGATGCAGCCACTGGGCACATCTGCATACAAAATCTACATGCAGTGTTTTCACATGTGCCCGGGACTGCAGCATGTTTTGCTAGGGCAGAACAACCCCGGCTAGCAGGAGACCCGGGGGAGTCAGTCTGCCAGCCTGGAGCTGCTCTGCTCCAGCTCAGCATGCTGCTGAAGGGCTGGGTGGGGGCACAAGGGTCTGCAGTGCGGGGATAGGTGTCAGGCAGCCCATGCACAGTCATGGCCCCAGCCCTGACTGTGCATGATCTGCATGCACCTCGTGCCCCAGCCAGTCCTGGTCATCATCTACACATGCGTTTCGGCTCACTAAACTCCACTGTAGGATAGTGCTTGTCCTAGACAGTACTATCCTACAGTGGAGTTAATTATTTACTGCACCCTAATAGGGACACAAATGCAAACAGTGACATTTTACTGTGGAGCTAATGAATCAACTCTGCTATAAAGGACACAAGTAGATGCAACCACTGAGCACATCTACATGTGCAGTTAATGTGAAGCTGTAAACTCCAGAGCTTATTGCTCTAGAGTTTATTGCTCCCAGATGTGCCATTTGAACATAAGCTTGAGACCGCAGCACATTGAGCTGGAAGGGGGGCCAAGGGGTCAGCCTACCAGCTCAGGTCTCTTCCCCTTCAGTTCAACATGCTGTGGAAGGGCTAGATGGGGCACAAGGGTGCTCCAATGCAAAAATAGCCACCGGGCACCCCTTGCATTAAAGCACCCTCATGCCCCAGCCAGCCAAGTCAGCATCTGTGCATGTGCTACTATGCACGAAAAAACTTTGTAGCAGGAGAGTACTCGTATTTACAAGCAGTCTCCTGCTGTGGAGTTAGTTAACTCCAGCTTAATAGGGGCACATGTGTAGACATCCAACATTTACTGGGGAGCTAATTAGCCTACTCAAGGTAAATGTGTGGTGAATAATAAGCACCCCTGAAATAGCTGCCTAGCAGCCACAGTAAGTGGGGCTGTTCACGCTGCTTGAAAGAGCCTCATTTTTGCGACTGAGGGGTATTGCCTGGCACAATAAAGACAAGATAGAGCAGAAGGGAAGCAGGCAGTTATGGTAACACAGGGAGCTTTTCCATTGACTTGAATGGGCTTTGGAACAGGCTCATAGTAATTATACCAGAAATGTCCCTGCCCCTCAGATTGAAGCATTGCTGGTTCCTGGCCTGCTGCCTCCAGGCTGGTGGCACTGATGGGCAGTTGGCAGCTTGTGTTTGCAGCTGGCCTGTGATTTTGAGCTCCCCCTTGCCTGGTATCAGCAGTAAGCAGAGAGCCCTCCTGTTCATAATTTAGAAAGAAACAAGGCTTTTATCTGTGGAAATAGCTGCATGCCCTTCCTACCAGCTATTTTCATTTCAGACCCTATAGCCACCATTAGTCCTCCCAGACCTCTGTGCTCTTCCATCTGCTCTGTCACTTCAGTGCACCAGATCTCAAGAGCATGTGTATTCATTGTCTTGGCTCAAAGCTCCCAGCCATCCTGTCATTCCTTGCTGGAGATTATTTGTGTTACTTCCTAAACATAAGAACACTTAGGCCAATGGGACAAGCTTCCTAGGGGAACTGCGGACTCTCTTTGGAGGTTTTAAAGGAGAATAGCTGGATAGGCAAACCCTACACATGGACAAGGAGTGGGTTGGATTAAATGACACTTGAGATTCCTTCTAGCCCTTTGGCTCCCCACTTAAAAACATTAGTTCCCAGCTAAGATTGTAAAAGATCTGAGGGGCCCTCACCTTCCTGCTTGGGTATGGCTTGATCGGGAATAAGCCATTGCCACAGCAAAATGCAAGGAGCTGCTGTGATGCTGGAGTTGGCTCTGCCAGGGTCCAGAGCATTAAGGTGGGTCAAGCCTTTGGCAGTCTTTATAAGAGGAGGAGTCATCGCTTCCGTGTCCTGTGCTGAATCAGGAATAGGCGTGATGCATATGTGAGGGGAGCAGATTGGTCAAGTGAAGGTTTCCACACAGACACTCTTTGGTGCTTGTGCTGTGAAAAACATCATGCTTCCTCTGTAACACTACTCCTTTTTTCATTAATCCTGTCTAAGATGCATTTTTCCAGCACAAAGAGGATAGGGGTTGCCCCAGGCATTTGAGTATTTGATTTACACACAGCATAAATTCCTTACAGCATGATTTAGGTAATTGGAGTTCATCCAAAACTGGTGCGACTTCGTGCCTCTGCCTCGATAACTGTGTGCATGCTTAGCTTTAGAGCTAAGGAATGTAGAGTTAGGATTTTAACCCATGTGCTTTCCTCTATGTTTCTTGCCCCAGTTGATCTCTGTGTAACTGTGTCCCTTTTGTGCTTCTAATCCCATCAGGTGAATTTCCGAGGAAGCATGCAGAAGTTGATCAGAATCCGAAATCCCTGGGGGGAAGTAGAGTGGACTGGAAAATGGAATGATAAGTGAGTTGCATGGGTTAGGTAATGTCTGCATTGCAGTGGGGTGTGTATCCTAATGGCATGACTAAATTTGCATTAGCTAGTTCCACCCTACTGCCTTCTTCCCCCTGAAGTTACTGTTGGACATGATATTCTCTTGTGTGGAGTCACTGTGTGCTGTTTAAAGGAACTGTTTTGCGATGATATTCTTGTACAGAGACTTTGCAGCATGCTGTGTCCTCTGTATAAGCCCTCTTAGAACACAGTCCTCTGAAGACCTGGGTCTAAGGAAAAAGATCTAGTTCCTACAGCAAATGTGCTGTATTTTCAGTGGAAGCCATGTTTAAAAAGATAGACAATTCCTAATACTGGATCAAAGTACCTTTATTTGTTATTATAATTAAAGTATCAGCCTCTTCAGTGCTTCCTCTTCCAGTTCATGGAAGCAGTCATTTTTCATTGGCATGGTGCCTAAGTTTGGGTGCCTGTGTTTTTGATTTCCAACTGAAGACACCTAGGAAAGGGTACATTTTTCTCAGAGATGAGTCAGGGGCTTAAAGGTCTCTGAGGATCTGCCACCATTATAGCCTCTAAGGGGAGACAGGCTCATTTCAAGGCTTCCAGATCATAAGCCACCTGTGAACATTTCTATAGGCATTCTTATAATTTAGTTATACATTATTTAAATTGCTACAGGGCTTCACTGAGCTCTGAGCTCTCCTTATCTGGGCATCCTAGGTTGTTATAATCACACAGAGCTAGATGTGAGCTGGGTAATCCTGTCACAGGCACAACATGGGGGGTGGACTTTAGGCTGCTGTTCTCTAGTTAAACTCAAGTTTGTCTTTCAGCTGCTCAAACTGGAATGGCATTGATCCTGCAGTGAGAGAGAGACTGACTAGGAGGCATGAAGATGGGGAATTTTGGTAAGAAGTTGTAGGTGTTTGTTGGTTGAAGAAACATAATGTTAAAAATTTAAGAAAAAACAAACTGTGACTTAGGCAAGGGTCCTCGTGACAGCATAGAAATGCACAAATGTCTGTGAACTTTGTTGCTTAAGCTTTTGTGATGTGGGGTCCAGGGATATGGGTCATCAGAAATGCAGGTCTCAGTGAAGCGACATGGTAATCATGGGAGGAGTGACTTCAGTTGTTAAAACCCAGGGTCGCCACAGTGATCGGATAGAGCATCTTGTTATGCTGGCCAGAAGTCACTGTGGCAGGTCATGGCTCTAGATGTTGAAAAGGCAATTAGGAAAAAGAGGTATCTTGAAATGTTTCCTGCTCTAAGCAAGGCTTGTTTCTCTTCCTAGGATGTCATTCAATGATTTCCTGCGACATTACTCCCGCCTTGAAATCTGCAACCTAACTCCAGACACGCTGGCGACTGACACCTACAAAAAGTGGAGCCTGACCAAGCTGGATGGAAACTGGAGGCGTGGCTCTACTGCGGGGGGCTGCAGGAATTTCCCAAGTAAGAAACTTCCACATGCAGCTTCTGCAGCTAGAGAAAACAACCCCAGGCCTACGTTAGTCAACTTTTCTTAAGGACATGCAAAATTCTGTAGAATCTGTTCAAATGGTGGCTGCTTACTCTTAGATGTAGCTTGCAGTGAATTGCCATTTATTCTTTCCAGTGAGGTAGCTGCCCCTGATTTAATCCAGCACTTGTTTAAAACTTAAATCCTCCACATCCAGCAGCGCTTAGATTTTGCTTTCTTTGACGGCTTGTCTGTAGAGAGAGCCTTCATCTAAGCACAGGGCTGGCTACCAGGATCTTAGGCATTCTTATCCTGGTTCTGATATCTGCAATTCCCTTTTGTGTCCCCAGCTGCCCTCTAATTTTGGGTGCCTTGACTATTGGAGTACCCAACTTCAGATCCTGAGACCTGATTTCCAGAAGTGCGCAAGTCCCATTGACTTCACAGAAAATTTGCTTCAGTGGTGGAGCAGGGTGCTCCTCATTGCTGAGAAGTCAGGGTTGCTTGCTTAGGTACATAAATGTAGATGGTGTTGCCTTTTTCTCCACACCCATATCTAATAGGGAGCAGCCCAAGCCAGGATGATTGCTGAAACATCAGCATAGCTGGTTTTTAGAACATTTCAAGCAGCTTGTACAACAGTCTCTGTGTCGGCAGATACTTTCTGGACAAATCCACAATACCTGTTTAAACTGGAGGAAGAAGATGAGGATCCTGATGACCCTGAGAAGGGCTGCACCTTCTTGGTTGGCCTAATTCAGAAGCACCGCCGGAGGCAGAGGAAGATGGGAGAGGACATGCACACAATTGGCTTTGCCATCTATGAGGCAAGTGAAGCAATGCACACACGTGCGTAAATCCCTGGGAGGTGGGAGAGAGAAAAATTCCTCTGAACTTTCAAAAGGGGAGGGATCATCAATGAATGACTTGTCTGCTTTCCTGTTGTATAGCATTCTAGGTATAAGTCACAAAAAAGCATGTATGACAATGTCCACGTAGCACCTCCTATGCCTTCTATGCACCTTCTATGTGAGCTCAAGCCTTCCCCTGGAAACCATTGGTGCACAGGAGCATGGAAGGAGCTAAGCAGTGAAAACTCAGATCCAGGCTAGGTGCCCCTCATCTCAACCCTCTCTAGGTGATCAGAATAGTGAACAAAGAACAAGAGCAACTCAGTAGGGAACATGAAAGTGGGTGTTGGGAATCTGTTCTAGCCTGAAAAATGTCAGCCCTGGCAAGTAAACCTAGTTAGAATTTAGGACTCTTCCTAAAGCATCTGGCATTGATCTGCACATCAAAAGTAGTTCCCTTATTTGTTTCCTAATACATGCTCACCAGTGCCTTGTTACCCCTTTAAACCTAATCTAGTTTAAACCTTAACTGGGAGGGAAGGAAGTCCCCTAGTCTCAGTCCAGTCCCAGTCCCTCTCCCCTCACAGGTTTGCTATATAACACGAGATAGATTTCTGCCTCAGTGTCCCAGTCTAGAACATAGTGGGGTAGCACTCACTCCCCAGTAATGCTAACACACTTACAGCAATTTGGATCTTCTGAAGAAATAGCTAAGAACAGGGGTGGTACTTCTGAGTCAAACTTGCTGCTGCTTTTGAGTTTTGCAGTTTAAACTAGATACATCCCCTGGAAACCCAAACTGGAATCCATAGTGTTGGGGTGATTTTCTAGTCTAGTGCATACTGCAGTGTGGTTTAGAGATACAAAAACTGGCTGTAAACAGATCTGCTAGTTTCCTGTCAATAAACATAGGTATAACATGTGTTCCTTCTCCCTTCTTTCTGCAGGTGCCTTCACAGGTATGTTCAGAGACATAGCTGAATAGCATGGGGGGAATGAAACAACTGCCAGGATCCTCTTCCACAAACAGGACACTATTGAAGTTGCTAAATCTAAAACGAGATCTTCCTGGTTAGAAGCAGTTTGTTTTGAATGTGGGTATTGGGGCGTTTCTTACAATCAAAGCAACTGGCACCCAGACAAGGGCTATCTACCCTATAGAGACTTTCCTTGTGACCGTTATTTTACTGCCATGCTGCTTCTAGGCAAACTCCTGATTTCTTAAGTTTTCTTAGGGTCCAGCTGTAGCATTAAACAAATGCTTCTTGTTTCTTATTTCAGTAAATATTGTCTGTTTTTGGTTCCTCTGTCTGGTCTTTGTCAGTTGTATCTAGTTAATGCAAGCCTCAGCTCTGGTATGTAGTGTTCAGCTGCTGACTGGTTGAGAGCAATTGCAGTAGCATAATGTACAGGTGATCAGACAACTCCTGAGAATTTGCTCTGTAGCTCCAAACAGGAAATGCAGTGTAACCTATATTGGGTGGAATAGTATCATGCACACACTTCATAGAAAGCAGTGACATTACATGGTAACTTGCAGTTATGTTGTACCTTTGGTCATTTCACCTGCACCCAGTTTATGACTCAATCTCTTTAAAACTTATCCTGATATTCCCAACCAATGACACTTCCCAAAATCATAAAGACCTTAAGCCACGGTCAAGTGGTGTTCACACTCACCTTTAATAGGCTTAAGGTCCATTGTCTCATGTCCTAAAAGGGCCAGATATAGGAGCTTTCCACCATTCTTTCCAATGGATGCATCACTTGCTTCTAGCCCTAAAAGGCCCTGAGATAATAGACCTTAACACTAAATATTTTTTTCTGTACAAGATACTTTAGATATATTTAAAATAGATTCAGAATCTATTTACTGGGCACGTCTACACATGCCCCTGACTTTGCAGTTGGTACTGCCAGTCATTTAGTACTTGCTTTAGTACTAAATGACTGCACAGTACCCTCTGGTACTGCACAATCTCGGCAGCACTTGGGTTGTTTTTGACCCTACTGCACAGTAGCAGCAGCGTCATGGTTAGTGCCTGCTGACACTACGTCGCCATAGCTTGTCACTGTCGCTCTCTCTTGCTCTCTCTTTATTAGAGTCCTGTATAATTGGACCCCTAGCACTAAGGCAACCTGACTTTCCAGGTAGAGAGAGAAGAATTGAACTTGTGACACCTGGCTTTTCTGGTGAAGAAATGTGAAGGATAACACCAATGACATATTCTTTAAAACTTTAAATATCTCCAAAATATTTAGTCACATTCTGCTGCACACCATGAGGCCTTTCAGGCATAGGATGGCACAGCATGCAGGCTCTGATGACTTACTTGGGATGCCCATGAATGGGTTCAGCTTCCCTCATGCCTTTATAAGCAGTTCACTTATTCCCTTTCCGTCAAAATTCTGTTGAACTGAGTTTTAACCGGTCCTGGAAAGGAACCACCCTCCTCTTCTGTTCTGTTTCTTTCTGATTTGAAATTACACTTCATTTGTTTTGAAATCAGTTTTCAGGCCAGACAAACGTTCATCTGAACAAAAACTTCTTCTTAACAAATCGAGCAAGAGAAAGATCCAACACTTTTATCAACCTCCGAGAGGTACTGAATCGATTCAAGCTCCCTGCAGGGCAGTACATCATCGTGCCGTCTACCTTTGAACCCGACAAGAATGGGGATTTCTGTCTCAGAGTCTTTTCTGAAAAGGCTGCAGATTCAGCGTACGTAGCCAATGCTCACTGTCTCTCGCTGACTCTTCCCTGTGTGACTGTCCTGAATGGTTCTGCTGATAAATCAGATGTCAAAGTGGATGACTTGGAGAATTGCTGATGGGAAGGGAAGTGATTAAAAACTGTTTCTGTGGGACAGCTCTGTAGTGGCCCTTTTCGAAGAAGGTTGTGATTTTGGTCCAATGGACAGACACATCTGCATTAAAAGAAATGCTGCTGCAAATGGCATCCTTGGCCATGTGCAGATGAAAGGAGGGGCATGTGTGCACGACACTGTAAGTGGGTTAAATGCTTTTGCACCACTTTAGTGGTGTTGGACAGCGTAATGCACCTTAAATGATTGGAGTGCAGCAAACTAAACTTCCAGCCATGGAGCAAAGCGCCAGACTCCGTGCAGCTCAGGGGCTCTGCAGGAAGCCCGTGCAGGCAGCCTGGCGGCAGCCCAGGAAGGCAAGCTCCACCCAAGAAAAAAAAGCAGTGATCTTTCTTTTTTTTTCCTGGAGCCTGCCTGCCTGTCTGAGCTGCACAGGGGCTGCAGTGCCCCCCAGGACCACCTGAGCCAGGTGCCTGCAGGTGGGTGCTGCCTGGGGGTGGGGGTGGCAGCCCCACCTTCCCACAGCCCAGGAACCACTCCACCCGCCGGCAGCTCGCCCTCCCTTCCCAGCCGCCAGAGAGGTAGGTAAGTGCACAGGTGTGTGCACGACACGGGGGTTTACTTGACCCTAAACTGAAGCAGTGTTTTTGAAAACCCACCACTTCAATTTAGGGCCCCTGTTTCATCTACACACGCCCCTTATTGCCAACCTTATCTGAGAGGCCAAGAATCAAAGGGACTGAGTTACCCTCTGTTTTTTAGGCTTCTCATTAGGATTTAGGCCCAGCTGGTGGACACTGTTCTTGTTTATTGACTACTGTAATAGTACCTAGAAACCAAGCAAGATCATCCCTATCGTGCTAGGTCCTGTGCAAACACAGACGTTAACAATTCCTGTCCCAAAGAACTTGCAGGTTAAACTGACAAGCCAGACACCAGCAAGGGGAAAAAGGTAGAGCCTGTGAAGTAGATGGGTCTGTGTGGTGATGGCAAACATTATCTTAGTTCTGTGTTAGAGTTTGGGGTTTTTCTGAAGGATGGGCATAATTCAGAAAGAGTTGGGAAGGAGAGATAGGGGAGAGGTCAGAAGAACAAAGCAGGTGAGGTGGAGTTTGCACTAACATTTCCCCCTTACACTGGCAAAAAGACTTCATTTTTTTACAGTAGTGAGGCACTTTTTACCATCATTAAGCTCACCCAGAATCAAACAGTATCTGACTGGAACCAACAGGGCCTGGCTAATGCAAAACTCGCTTTGTCTTTTTGTCTGGCCATAGTGTATGTAGTAGTCAGTGGTGTGAAGACTGGACATTTTCCTCTTTAGTACTGAACTGAATCTAATCGCTGGCAACATCTTCATGACTTCTTTGCACAAGCGAGGAGAGCTTTAATTAAAATGCAATGGGAGGTGGTAGGTGATGGGCTATATGTATTCTGACAGCACAGACGTTAGTTATTGAGATGTAACCAGCTGAGTACTAAGTACCAAAGGAGCCTATAGTAATAAAAAAGCAAGTAAAAAACTGCAATGTTGGGCTCTTTGATGGAAAATGTGAAGTCTTATAGCAGTAAGTGTTCCCTGTGCTCCAGTGCCAGTGCTCATGAACAGACCCCATTAGTCATGAGAGAGTTCATAGACATTAGGGCTGGAAGGGGCCTCAGGAGATCATCGAGTCCAGCCCCCTGCCCCAGGGGCAGGAAGTCAGCTGGGGTCACAGCATCCCAGCAAGATAAACGTCCAATTGACTCTTAAAGGAGTCCAGAGTAGTGGCTTGCACCACCTCTCGTGGCAGTCTGTTCCAGGCCTTGGGGGCTCAGACAATAAAGAAGTTCTTCCTTATGTCCAGCCTGATGACCTCGGGCCTTTGAAATCTTGCTAGATAATGTCCCAAGGCTGAATCATTTCCTTGATAAAAATTAGAATTTAATTCTACAGAGTAAAAACTACAGCATTTGAGGAACACAGGTCATAATTGTGATGATAAAGGGAAGGACTGAATATCTGTCACAGGGAGCAGATATGGCTTCAGAGCCTCTCATACCTGCTGCCTTGTAAGCCAACCCACATTCTGCTTGTGCACCTAAATGGTCACTTACCGTAAGTAGGCACATATGCCTTTTTTTTGCCTTCAAGTAATTGTTCAACTTTAACTCTTCCTTCAGCCAATATGAGTTTGATAAAAGAATTATGGGATGAAAATTTAGGGCATGCGCTGTGCAGAGGGTCAGACTGGGTTATCACTATGGCCCCATAAGGCCTTAAAATGAATGTAGGACTCTATCATCTATTTCCCAGGGCTTATAAAGTGCTCAGAGTGTGAAAAGTACCAAGAATTAATATGTCGGGATAACTAAAATAAAAGTAATGTCACTGGCATGCTTGACATGCATAAACTTCTACAATTAACTACCTTAAAAAATTATATACATATATAATTATATATATTATCTATATATGTGTGTGTGTTTGTGTGTGTATTTCCATCCATCTTTATTTTTGTTCTTAGTTATTAACTTGATTTTCAGTTCATACTTAATGGATTTTTATTTTATACTTAATGGACCTTATGGCATTTTCTAAAGTGGTATTATAGGAATTAAAATAGCCACTATTGGAGTGGGACTTCTGTTTTAACAGCAAACTCAGAATCGGTAAGTGTGTGCATTTGTTTTTAACATCAATCCCTTTATCTTTTTTTAGGGTGGTAGATGATGAAATCGAGGCCAATGTTGAAGAGGTACTTTTTTTTTAAATGGTTGTTAATTGAAATAAATTCTACCAGGGACAAATAGAATGATGAATATTTTAACCCTTTTTCCATCTGAATATGTATTTCTGGCTGCTATTCCTGAAGCAGTACACAACATTCACAGGGGTGTAGTGTCCTGTTAGCCTGTAAACCAGCAAGCATTTGTATTCCATCTTAGGTAAAGGAACATAGATATGTAGAGCTGGATGGGGGCTTCTGCACTCTTGGGTCCACTACATTTGTGGGCAACCATTTACACAAGGAGTCCCCAACTTCACAGAGTTTGACTCTTGGATATACCTACAGGACCTCCACAGGGAAGTCAGTGGAAACATCACAAGCAGGTTTGAAAATCGCCTTTGGCCGTTATGTGTAACAACAAAAGAACTCAGCCTGTTCAGATCCTGCTCACTGAAATTTATTCAAGCCAAGGATACACTTCGTTTTCAAAAGTAAATGCCAATCCCATTTTCTGGATCAAACCCTGCAGCCCCTGAGCCAGCCCCCTGCCATCAGTGAGAAAGGAGTGCAAGGCTGAAGTCTTGTGTGACTCAGGGTTATTAGAGGAAGCTGGTCCAACAGTTCAAGTACAGGTTTACTCCACTGGTGTGACTCAGACTTTTTCATTTCAATACTTGAGACTGAAACGTGTTATTTTTTCCCCTTAAAATGGACCTGCCAAGTTAAAATTGACTTTTGTTAAAGAACAAAACTGATTTTCAAACTCAAGATAAACTCTTCATCAATCCTGTTTAAATAGACATGATACATTTTTAATCCTTTGCAGTGTTGTGTAAGTGCCTGAAAGTGATACTACCTATAAACAACTCTTAAACCAGTCTATCCTCATATCCAGTCTGACCAAATGTAAAAGAGTATGGCTAAAGCAAGGAGCTTTCCATTTTTAATGCCTGTGGTTGATTATACCACAAATGAGAAAATGTGCTGATTTAAGTGATTATTAACCAGAGTCACCCCTTTAATACTGTGAATTTTGCTATTCATACCTCCTCTAGATTGACATTAGGGAAGACGACATTGCAGCCAGTTTCAAAAAGCTTTTTGGACAACTGGCCGGAGAGGTGAGTATCTGTTTTTTGTTTATGTTGGTGTTTGGGGCTTGCTATGAGACAGTGACCCTCTGCCCCAAGACGTAGTTTCACTCAGATGGTCTGGGCAACAGTTGCAAAACACAAGTACATCATTGTATTTGACAAACCTGGTACAATCGTGCACTGAATTATCCCATGCAATGGATCTGCTACAGCCCCCAGGTAAAGAACTGAGTTCTTTAACTCAAACTATAGCAACTTTTAGCTCTGCAAGTCCTCAGTGTGCTGGTCAAACTGAGTGCTATCCTGTCCTGGGTGCTCTTACACTCACAGAAAGTGTAAAATATGCAAGTTCCGTATGCATTTTTATATACATAGCCTGGCACATATCCCTGGCCTATGTATGATGGTCAAAAGCTAGACCAGTCTCCAGTGCAGTAAGTTAAGATCAACTTCTCCCTTTCCAGTTGCACTGGCACCCAGAGAAAATGCTCCAGGGCTGCACACAGGGCTCCTATGAGCATAGTGAACTCCAGAAAGAAAGAGTGCCCAGTGCTGTTCTCAGGTGCATTAACTTTGTTTGCTTTCTGGTTAAATGTCTGCCAACTGGACCTATGTTGTTTCTACCAAGTCAGGCTCCTTCTGCCAGGTTCAACACTTGGCAAGACTAAAACAGCAATGGAGTCTAGGCCTGGTCAATAAGATCAGAGCAAGAAAAGTGGGGTTGAGGCAGTCATTTGAAGAACAAGACTAAAAGTGCTTAGGTCACAAGAGGTCAAAAGTGCATCTCAAGGCTTGTAGCCCACTGCACTATTGTGATTAAGGCACACAGGTTTCTGTAGTCAGTGGCACACAAGGAAATGATGTGGTTGGAAGCATGTCTGGCCAGCTTTGAAACCTAGGTGACCAGGTACCATTTACACTGGGGGTAGCTTTCAGCACAAGTCCAAAACAAGGCTCAGACTGTTGCTTCTGGGGCTGTAGTGAAACACCCAAAGGACTTTGACACTATGCCTCATGCTGTGAATCCCACAAAGTGGGAGGAGATTTCACCCATCAAACAGGCCCAGCAAACTCCCTAAGAAGAACGGCAATTGTGCTCACAAACTGCTCTTATCTCATGAGATACTTCCTGGGGCTTTCCAAACCAAAAGGAATTCCAGCTGCACTTTCTAAACATTACAGAGCTTGTGGTTTCATGTGTACAAGTGCTGTTCAGCCTGAATTAATGTACCAGACCTATCCAAGCCTCTCACTCCCTCCTCTCATATGTGGTGCCGACTCCCGGCCTGGCACATATTGAATATTTACTTAAAGTGGTGCTGTCCCCTCCCCTCCCCACAGGATGCTGAGATCTCTGCCTTTGAACTGTGCAACATCCTGAAAAAAATCATGGCTAAACGTAAGTATCTTCTTCCCTCTCCTAGTCAGTGGCCAGCAACAGATTGGGCCCAAGGAAGGCAGAGCACCTGCCAACCCAGCTCATAGACAGCTGGAAGATGCACCTGTAGATCCCAGTTCCCTGCTTCAGGGTAATCTCAAACTCACTGCTTTGTTGCTTGCTACGACTCAGGGGACTTTAGGGGAGTCTCTGCCTGAGTTCAGGAAGTTTCTACTTTTGGAGCTTCCTCAACAGCACACACCTACTTTGATGGTAGGGGTAGGTTGTAGGGCTGTGCAAAGCTTCGGTCCCTGATTCGATTCAGCGGAGATTCAGCCTGATTTGGTGGCTGATTCTCCAAATCAAATCAGAGGACCCTTTAATCTCTCTGAATCGAATCAGAACCCTCTGAATCAATATAGAGAGATTTGGAAAGATTCGAACATAGGCACAGCTTGAATGTTTTTTCTACATACCCCTAGGTAGCAGGAGGCTCGTGAATGCTGCGATGCTGGGGTGCAGGGAGTGTCCCACAGAAACACAGGAGGCTCCCCAGTGTGCTTGGCAGCAGACCCGAAAGTGGATGAGAGGGACTTCCAGTGCACTTCTGGCTCTGCTGGAGAGTGTGCTGGGGGCCCCCCCGGTGTCCCCTCCCAGCTCAGCAACAGGTGCCTCCTGTGTCTGGGGGGCACCCGGGTCCCCACGTGGCTGATCACCGAGCCTGGCTGGCATGGGGAGGTTCCCCAGTGCGCTCCCTGGAGGACCCAGAAGTGGACCGGAAGTACTGCCGGTCCACTTCTGGGTTCACCACCAAGCACATGGGGGGACTTCCCACTCCTGTGGGATGCTCCATCTGCCCCAGCATCGCAGCATTCAGAAGCCACGCTGGTACCTTGAGGTATGTGGAAAAAACATTTAAAGCTGTATCTATGGCCGAATTGCTGATTCTCTGAATCAGCATCAAATCTTCAGATTTGGATTCGACCAAATCAAATCAGGGACAGCAATCCAAATCAACTAATCGAATCACCATCCCTGATTTGGGCCGAATCCAAATCAAATAGGGCCTGCTTCACGCACCCCTAGTAGGTTGCCATTGGCTGTCCTTGGCTGACAGGGATTGTTTGACAGACAGGCATGCTGTACTGGATAACTTGGTAATGGCCAAAGACATTGCTGTCTCTAGTAGTCTGAATCCAATGTAGGCTGATCTCAAGGTGAAATCCTTGCATTATGTGATCCCATTTGCTCAAAGCAGTTATCCAAAGTTCTGCTTCCTTCTGAACAGGATGCAGGTGACAAAGCAGCTGTGCAGTAACCCTGTTCATGAGCAAATGATGGTGATCAGGGTTGGTGGCTAAAGGACATGTGCTGCTGTTGGAGGTTCCTCAGGAGATAAGCAAGGTCACAGCCTACACAAAAGGGGGCAAAATCCACTTTTCTTTCTTCTTATAGCCATCAAAGGGGCGGGGGACAGGGGAACACAGTGGTATCCTGCTCAAGGTGCATCCATGTTGCTGACAGTAACAGATACTGGTTTAGGTGATTAATTGTTCTCCTTAAGATTCAGCCTTGTAAGGAAAAGGAATCTATTGCCTACAAGGTTAACCAGCATTCACGCAAGGCTTGTTAGGAGAAGGGGAAGATAAAGGGATTGACCCAAAACCCCCTATGAATGTCCTGCTTCCTAGGGGAGAGGCAGTGAATGACACAATCAACCCTCTATTGTAAGTTTCCAGACTGACAGCAGAATTCAGCAACAGCGCAGCAACAAGGGAAGCCCCAGACAGTTGGCTGATGTCTGCATGTCTTTGACAAGGTCACTCAGACCATATTACAGGTTTCTTATCCCCTTCAGATAACGATCAAGTTTTGGGACAGGCTATCCCATGGATTGTTTTAGACTAAAAGACATCAGTCAGACAGATAGGATTTCCATGATGCTTTTCATCTCTAGGCTGATACTGACTGTCTTTTGTCAGTTACTGATCTCAGCCTCCTTCCCCATCAGTATCCTGAGGAATGCCCTTGGATTAATAGTTTCTTGTTGGCAAAGGATGGGACAAGGCCCAGAGAGGCTGGATTGGGATCTGCCCCTGCTCCTGCAGCTCACATACAACCCGTGCTTTGAGTGCAATGTCTGCTTGGTAAAGAGCAACTGGCTTCAGTCCTTGGGGCTTGTTGTCAGGGACCTCCTCCTCCACTCTTGTTCAACTTTCCTGTGACGCTCATGCTGCTTGACCCACCTGTGCCTCCTTCTCCCTGCCCCTGGCTTCTGCTTTAGGTACATGCTGTTCCCTAGACTGTTATGGTAGGACCCACCAGCAGAAGGCTCTTGAGAGTACCAGCCTGGGGAGATGAGGTTTCTCTCAGGCAGTTGGGAGATGGAGACAGGATTCCTGATCCTGGCTATCCTTCCAGCAGGCATAGACTCTCCCACCCATCATGGTGCTCCTTAGTGGCTTCACTTGTCCCTGAAAAAACAACCAGTCCCAGTGCCTTCCCGCTAGAAGTCAACTGGAAAGCACTCATTCCTTGGTCTAATCCCAAAGGAAGATTTCAGGTGTAGAAATGGAGTTACCCGTTCTGAGGTTGTGGGCGTAGTACAGAAAATCCTATAGAACTGAGCTTTTCTTGCATGCATTATCTTTGCTTTCTACATAACAGCAAGAATGAGGAAACTGCATTATCCTGTCCTGGGCTCCAAAATAATGTGTGTGTCCTGACAATTTGGAAGTATCCAATGCCTTGCCTCATATATGCTGCTGCTTTGTCAGGTTGCAATGGCTTCTACCAAACAAGACAGGGAGGCCCTCTAAAAAATTGATTTAAATTCCTCTATCCCAATTCCAGCATTTAACAAGTAAATTTGCCATTTTCTTTCTTTCTGTACAGAAAAAGACATTAAATCAGATGGCTTCAGCATTGAGACATGTAAAATAATGGTGGATCTGCTAGATGTATCCTTCAGTGATGTTGGCTTGACTCCACTCCCCTGTTCATACTGTTTTTTTTTATTGCTTAGTGCTACATATGTAGTGCTAACCTCCATTCATCCAGGCATTCTGTAGAGCTTCTCCTGCACAAATGTGAACACTTCCTTTTTGTTCAAGCTTGTAGGGGGATGTGTATTTTTAAAGGAGAAGACCCTGCCTCAGATCCCTCCTAGAAGTGGCATGTGGGGCTTAGCTGATGGCAGTGATGTTGCATATGCATCACAGAAAAGACCAGTTTCATAATGTGGTATCAGTGACATTAGCTAGTGTTGCAGGCCTAAGTATGTATGTCAAAGAGGAAGGTGATGAGTGCCCTCAATCCTAAGGTACAGAAAGACTGCCCATGCCAGGTTTGGTCAGAGCAGGGAGCAATCACAAGAATTTAACAATCAAACGCAGTGGGGGACAGAGACCCCCAAAGCCCTCCCCAGGTAGCATTGTCTTTGAGCTTTTGCTCCAAGGGAAAGAAACAAAGAGGAGAATCAGTGCAGTGTGTGAAGAACTCTCCAGTAAGAGTTGTGTTCTGCTCCATGGAGGTGGTGGTGGCGTGAAACCATATTGATTTGAATCCAAGATGAGGTTTTTTTCTGTCATTAAACACTGGGGGGGGGGGGGAAGAAGCCTTCATTT